CCTACTATATTTCTGCCGTCATGTAGACCGCATGAACTCGTTAGAAGTGTAAATCAGCAGAGGAAGAAGACGGGAAAGGCCAGCTATGCGCATATTATGGCATCATTGCTCCACCGGGAGTTGTCTATGTGGGCGTAGATCATCTGTTCGATTCAACTGTCTTACCTGCCATGATAAACGGTCTGTCTTCTAGTAAAGCAAGGAGAACAAACTGATATTCACGCGATAGCGATGAAGCAAAAAATATGCAGAATAGGTGTCCTTCTGTAATCACGTTCGGAGCGCACAAAATCGGCTGATGACTGAACTAGCAGACAGTCTCTGCATCTGCTACTCCAAGAGTATATGGGCTGGTCATGTGGTTCGCATGAGACAACCGGTGAATGTCAAGAATTATTTGCTGATTTCCGTTGGACCATTAAGTTCGAGTCAGTCGTCCAATAGCACGTTGGGATGATCTGGTAGTCAAGTAACTTGTTCCGTGGTGGAGGAGAAAAAAAGATAGAGAATATTGAAAGAGCATTGAATTACGTTCGTGGAGGAGAAATCACAACTAGGACAAGTCAGATAATGGACAAAAAGAAATTAAGTGTATCATTATGCTTGACCGTTGTGTAATATTTGTTGAACCAGATGTAAGAGTTAACGTTGTGATCGATAAATTAATGAAACTTAGATAAACTGTGATAGTCATTTCGCTGTCTATTAATTTCCGCTTCGCAACACGTAGTGAATAAAATGTACCAGTTCGTTTTGAGCAACTCATTAGTTACTCCAGTGTTTCCGCCAGACCATAAAAGTGCAGCGCTAGAATCCGTTAAGAACTGGTGCTAGAGAGTGGAGTTTGAGTTAGTGACTTGGAGTGCAGTGTTAAACTCTCAGCCGACTTGCACGTTACAATGATATCAGGAAAGAAAAGGGTAATGTACCTAGTCGCTATCCCGGATGAGGTACAAGTGTAACTGTTGCAGAAGTGCCTCAAACTTAACATAGCGTAAATTCTTTTGAACGTAATCTAGGAAATTTATGTACTGCTGAGCTTAATAAATGAAACACCTTGACCGATGAGATCATACTATGAGAACCAATGTCATACTACTTGAGAACATGCGATTGTAGTTATATCCGCAGCGCTCTTGATGTTAGCAACGAGCGCCGACCAGTATTCGTTTTGTAGAAACATTATTTGGAATCCAGCTGGCGTGAAAAGCTGTTAAATATGAAATCAATGCGTTTTAGATCGTCTATTAATATAAATTTTATCACGCTGAATTTTAGCTAGTGCCCATCAAAGAAATGCCCGACGTTTTGAGGGTTGTCAAAGATATCCCTTCACTGAAGCGGGGCATGTTCGTTCGGCTGAAGCGGACCGTCTTTAAGGACGACCTGGCTCAGGTATTGTCGCTATAAGACTGCTAGCCGCGGCTCTGTATTTTGTGTTTGCTGTGCAGGTGGACTTTGTTGACCTGGCGCAAAACACGATTCACTTGAAACTAATCCCACGAATTGATTACTCGCGAATGCGTGGAGCACTGCGAGGAACGGTAGGAGTCCTTTTTTTATTCTCTCTTATTGTTTTTAATTTTGTCAGTGTGATTTTTCTGATAGGAGACTTCAGAACAAAGGAAGCGCAAGCGTCGTCCCCCCGCCAAACTCTTTGATGTCGATGCTATCAGGTTATGTCGATTGTTGTCGTTTTCCTAACCACTGCGTCTTAATTTCAGAGTTCATT